TGGCCCATATGACTCAACATTAAGACTACCACAACATTGTGGGATTAAAAGGAATCCTGGGAGTACTGAAGTGGCAAAACCCTGCCAATGATGGGGTTAAATAAAATCTTATTGTGTGGTAGTATGTTTAAATTAGCCCATAGAGGACTGGTGAGTACCAATGTGGCCCATAAGACTCAATTCAAGGAGTACTTAAGTGTCCAGAGGCCAAAGATGAAAAGTCCTAGGTCTAGACCATGGGCTGTAGGGTTAAACCAGGACGGAATTTGACATTTGAGCTCAAGGGGACCTGCCAGACATATATTTGTGTCAACTTTGGTTTTGATGCATTTATTCAAAGTGTAAGGGGAAAGGATTATCTAAGCATCTTGGGAGTACCAAAGCACCCTGGAAGTGCTCAGTGGGCTGAGACCACTGTTGCTGGCAGTGGGCCAACCCTGGAATCCCATAGTACTCCATTCGAAGAGTACCAAAGCATCCAAGCATGGCCATCCAGGAGTAACAAAGTATCCAACGCCCACAGAGACCAAGTCTTAGGCCAAGATCTGGGTTCACAGGGCCAGACCGGGTTGAGACTCAACATGTGAGGTCAGTAGGATGTGCTGAATGACATACTGGAACACAGAACTAGCAAGTGGTCAGGAACAGGAAGTAGCTTTATTGACACTTATGTGGAAATTTGTTTTTTGACACATTTCTTGACACAAGAGTTAGAGGAAAGGAGTACTAAAGCGTCCTGGGAGTACCAAAGGGTCTAGGGGTCATATTTTCTTGACCTTTTGGCCTAGAGTCACCAAACTGTTGTAGAAGGTTGTGTCTCGATGGTCAACAACATGCTCCAATTTTGGTGACCCTACCACCTTTCCCTACCTCTCCAGGCCTATGAATGCAAGTTTCATCCAACCATTGACTTATATAAGGCCCGACATTATTAAAGGCCTTAAGGATCAGATCTCTCTGACCTTTTGGCTTAGAGTCACTGAATTTGGATATGGTAATCATGTACAGCCACTGTACAGCTAAGGATTTGTCTCTTTTACCTTTGACCCTACACTAAATTTGGATATGTTTATCTAGCTCTATGATTTGCTTCCCCTTGCTAGACCTTATACAATGCATTCTGCAGGGTCATTGCCTAGGCAAATATTCATAGGGTTAAATTTGTTTCTGCTGGGCCTTTGAACCTAGAGTTAACAAATTTGGATGAGGTTAGTGTGCTTGTGATTTGTGAAATATTGCCAAGTTTGGTGGCTCTATGACCTTCTCACAATTTGCTAAACTGCTTTATGTTGTGTTGTGCCCATTCAAGGCCTAGACCCCAAGTACATCTGCTGCACAGAAAAGGTCATATCTCGGTATTTGGTGGTCCTATGACCTTCCCCCACCTTTCTAGTCCACTTTATATTTACTCCTGCCTATTTGCTGTATCTCCTCAACCTATGAATGTAAAGTCATCAAATTTGTGTGATGTTAGTGTGCTGATTGGATGATAAACTTTCTAAAGGTTTGGTGGACCTACAACCTTCCACCAACTTTATAGTCTGCTTTAGGTTAACGAATGCCTATTCATGGGCTAGGCCAACATTGCAGTCACTGTATGGATAAGGCTATATCTTGACCTTTGACCTTACAAATTCTGATATAGATATTGTGGTGTTGGGACAATTGTGTTTGTCAAGTTTTGTGGCTCCATCACTTTTCACCCCCTTGTTAGACCAGTAGTTCTAAAGGGTCACAGCCGAGACCAAAAATCATATAGATAAGGCAGTTTCTGCTTGTTCTTTGAACCTAGAGTCACCACATTTGAATGTGGTTAGAGTGCTAGTGGGTGGATAAATTATGGCAAGTTTGGTGGTCCTTCGACTTTCCCTCAACTGACTAGATAGATATGTTCTGCAGGGTCATGGTCTAGGCCAAAATTTGTTAAGATAAGGCTGTATCTCCTGGACCTTTTAACCTAGAGTCATCAAATATGGATGATGCTAGTGTGCTAGTTGGTTGATACATTTTCTCAAGTTTGGTGATCCTACAACCTACAAACTTCTGTGTATTCATAGCCTAGCCCACCACTGCAGGTCGGGATTCGATGTGTGAAGTCAGGGGAATGTGGTGGATTACACATCAGGGTGCTGAACCCTTAAGTGTTCAGGTACAGGGAGTAGATTTGGGTAGAGCCTAGGGATCTGAGATCTACACCAATGAGCTTGATGAGCCTTTTGACACAAATGTGGCTTTTGAACAGACCAAAAGCAGCCAGTACCAAAGCAGCCATTCTTTGAGTACCAAATCGTCCAAAGCACAGCAGTTCAGGAGTACCAAAGTGTTCAGAGATCATAGAGGCCATGTAGGCCAAGTCATAGGCCTAGATCTGGGGCCAGGGGGTCAGACTGGGAAGAGAATCAATGTGTGAGGTCAGGGGGATGTGCCGGATGACATCGGAGTGCCGAACCAATAAGTGGTCAGGAATGGGAAGTAGGTTTGGGAAGGTCCTAGAGGCCTGAGACCTGCACCAGTGAGCTCAACTTAAGTCCCTGACACAAATGTGGTGTCAATTCTGTGTTTCACAATTTTTTCAAAGTGTTAGAGAAAAGTAATACCAACGTGTCCTGGGAGTAGTATAGTGTCCTGGGCATGCAAAAATGGGTTGAGAACATTGCTACTGGCAGTAAGCTAACCCTAGACTCCAATAGGACTCTATTCAAAATATACCAAGTGTCCAGGGGCCATAGAGACCTAATTCTTATCCAAGATATAGGTTCAGAGGGTGAGATCGGATTGAGACTCTGATTAGAGACCCTGACGTCTAATTTGTCAGGAACACAAAGTAGCCTTTGGTAGGGCCTAGGGGTGCAAGACCAGCACCAATGAGCTTGGCTTAAGCCCGTCAACACAATTGTGGTGTCAATTTTGCATTCCACAAATTTTTATTTTAGATGTTAGGGGAAAGGAAGTCTAAAGCGCCCTGGGAATACAAATGTCTAGGGGTCGTATTTCCTTGACCTTTGGTCAAAAGTCACCAAATTTGAATATGTGTTGCATCCCCTTGGGCTGACAACATGCTCCAACTTTGGTGACCCTCCAACCTCACCCTGAGTGTTGTGCACCCTTATAGAAGACAAGCGTATAGAACACTTGTCTTCTATAAGGTTTTAAGATTCATATGCTCTTATACTGCAAAATGTGATTTTTCTTTTTTCATCAGGAGACAGGTCTACATTACTTTGTGTGGTAAACTTTGCATTTAACCAATTTTTCTATGACTGTTAGAGGAAAGACGTACCAATACGCCCTGGGAGTACCAAAGCAGCTAAGGATCATATTTCCTTGCTCTTTTAGCCTAGAGTCACCAAATTTGGATATGTGTTGTGTCCCCTCAGGCAGACATGCTCTGACTTTGGTGATCCTCTCACCTTGCCCTGCCAGGCCTCCCAGTGCAAATGTCATCCACCCATTGTCTTCTATAAGGCCTCACATTGTCAAAGGCTTTACGGGACATTTTGACCTAGAGTCACTAAATTTGGACATAGTATCCCAGTAAGATGGCAAAATGTGATTAGTTTGGTCCTTGCACAACATTGCCTTACCTTGATCTGCTCCCTCTGAATGGTTAGGTTAAGGTCAAGATTGGGTGAGAGTGTGGGTAGGTAAGGGGATGTTGCACAAGCACCAAATTTGGATATGAACAGCATCCCGATGAGACAGCAAAGCTTGACAAGATTGGTGGTAATTGCCATACCTACCCACACCCTTCTTTCAGTCCCTCTGAAAGGTTATGTTTAGGCCAAGGGTAAGTGAGGGTGTGACTAGAAAGGGCAACATCGCTCAAGCACCAAAGTCAGATAAGGTCAGCATCGTGGTGAGAAATCAAAGTGTGTCAAATTTGGTGCTTGTGTGACTTCGCCCTACCCACCCTCCAATCCCCCTGAACAGTTATATTTAGGGCAAGGTAAGGGAGGATGTGTGGATAGGTAAACCATCTCGCCATGCTTTGCCGGCACTCCGAGTTTGGTGCTTGTGCAACATTCCCTTAGCTTGCCACACCCTCCCTTACCATAAACCTAACCATTCAGAGGGCCATATCTCTTTGACCTTTGACCCTAGGATCACCAAACTAAGATGTGATCATTACTCTAAAGGGCTGACCAAGCATGTGAAGTTTTGTGGTGGTACAGCCTTGCACCACCTTCACGGAGCAGGTGAAGCCTCTGTCTAAGGCCTCAGTGCTCTAAGGCCTGTAACTTTGCAAAATTTGAGGAGATTGCTAAGTTCTACCAGTTCTGGTAAATCAGCTAACAGACGCCTGCGCTGGCTAGCATTGCGCTGGGTGATGGGGGGTTACAAGGGACCACCCTGCCCACCCTGGGAGAGCAACTGTGGACAACTGTGCTCTCTTGGACTCCCAGTCACAGACAGCTGTAGCATCATCAGGGATCGAACTACCATCTCCTGATGATAGAGCCAATGCTTCCTCCCACTTGGGAGCCCTGAATTGTTTACTTTTAACCAAGTAAATCTTACATAGTTAATCATTGAATACTCATTGAATTATGCAGAAATTTGAAAAAAATCATGGAATTCTACGTAAAGCTATTGTGATTTATTTAAATATCTGTTTTGGAATGAAAACAGATGTTGCTTTTGCCTTTAGAGAACTGTAGGAACTTTGCGTTTGATCTTTGTTGTATTTCTGTGAATGAATCTGTGTAGCACACTGTACCTGATGAATGAATGTATAATAATGACAGAGTAAGGCAGCTGAGGGAGATTATATTAGAAAATTCAGCAACTGTAAATAGGTATTTCAGATACAAGCTCATAATTAGGTTATACATAGAAATCAGATGCTGTGTAATAGATCAAATTCAATATCAAATATTTTACAGTAAAATAGGGACAACATTCTGCTGTGCAGTACCTGGACCCCAGAATATACTGACCAACTCTTCTTAGTAAGAAGACTAATAATACAGATGGGTGATGAATCAGTCAGGAAGCAGGAATTATGCAATGCTGAATTTTATTTGAAATCAATCACAGCCCCTTGTACACACAGATTATAGTGATGTTGTTTTTAGACCACATATAGAAACTGAAAACAAATGATCATAATAATCTTTTATGTTTAATATCTGGGGCTCTCAAAGCTAAAGCGTTGATTATTATATGTGATTTCTGATACATGCAGAAGGGTACTGGAAGGAACAGGTCAGGTCAGTTCAGGCTTTCCAAACCATCTAAAACAAGAAAGAAAATCCATTAGATCAAATCTGAGAGTGTCAAATTGACAGAAGCATTGGGCTACACTGGGTCTGTTTACACCTCACATGGAACATGTGTTTTGGTGGTTGGATCTCTTTTGGATTCCACTTAAGCGCATGAGAAGCCGCCCCCAGCCGTAATGTAGGAGGTGCTGAGGCAGGATGCCAGTGCGAGTTGCTTTTATTTAAGTGAGATCCAACAGAGTTTAAAAAATACAGTGGCAGAGGTGACCGGAACAGATAAATCCATGACAAGGCAAAACAAAGTAAAACAGAACTAAACAAGAAACAAAACCTACAACCAGAGAAACAGGCAACAGCAACTGGATATATAGACAATGCAAGACAAAGGGACTGAGCAAACACAGGGGTATAAATACCAGCAGACAACGAGAAACACCTGAGACCTATGAAAGGGCAGGGCTAGGAGACAAAGAACAGGTGAAGACACATGGCAGACATAAAAAAACACACAGCACTGGGAAACCAAGAAAAAGGCAAAAAGAGAGAAAGACCAGGACAAAGAGTGAACAGGTGTTACAAGATGGTTCTACATAGAACCTTTTTTGAAAAGGGTTCTGTAAAGCACCAGAAAAGGTTCTTCTATGGTTAAGATGTCAGGCTTGTTACAATAGAAGAACACTTTAACATTGCAAAAAACTTTTTAAACTTGTAATAATTATATTCTTTGAGTGATGTGAGCATACAAACAAACACACACACAAACAAACACACACACACACACCCATTGTGTTTCTGTTATTATTATTATTATTATTATTATTATTATTATTATTTTATTACTTCTCTATCTAATAGCACTGCTATTCTTTTACACCCAGTCCAGCAACGCCTGATCATCGCTTAAGGTCTGGATCAGTATCAGGATCAGTATTTGCATATAATATACATATAATTTGTTAGAATAAAAGAATGTCAATAACAACTTTCTATGGCATGCTGTGCAATGCAGAAATAAGGAAAACACACCATTTCCCGGTCTGTCTGGCACAGACAAAAGGACGTTTCTCAGTGCAAACAAGATCATCCCAGCCTCCTACAAGAACAGTGCAAAGAGTTCCATGAAATATGAACTAATAAATACAAAAAACAATATTCCAATGAAATACAACAATAATTATAAAAGCATAGAGTGGAAAAGATGGTAATGGAAGCATAATGCTATAATAAATGCATTTATCAATCATAAATAACGTTAAAAGGATTGTGCTAGGAACATGTCTCAGTGAGATGAGCATGTAGCCAGCAGTAGAGCGTGAGGAAACCAATAACAATAAGAAGAAGACCCAGAAAATTGTTACCATTGTAGTTGATCTGCAAACAGCGTCCAGAGCCATCTGGCTGGCCTGGGGTCCATTTAGCGAAGTCAAAATCAGAGCCATCAGACCAAACCCAGTATCCTGCATTCTGAAGAAGAGCAATCTGAAATGAGTGTCGACTGTTCCAGAGAAAAGAGACTGAGCACACAGAACACTGGGAGAGATTCAGCACTAACTCAAACACACTTACACTCGGTTTGCCTCCGAGCCACGTGGGGCGATCTTCACCAGTGTGACTTTGAATCAGACGCTTAATGAACTTCTCTTCATTATTATTATGCACTGAAGCCAGAAGAGCACCAGACTGCATACAAACTTTCTACAGAAAGAATTTATAGAGACATAAACATTTTACCAAGATGGACATTTAGTTTATTCCAACCTGTTTGGGTGTTTACTTTTAAATGTTGGATTTTCTACAAAGTACTAAACTACTACTAAAATACTAAACATTAATAACATTATATTCTTAAAACTAAAACATCAAACTCATTTAAAGATAAAAAGTAAAACATAAAATCAACTCAAACTGCTTTACTGCTCAGGCCATCTAACACAGAACAGTCCACCTGAAGGACATTTTGCACAAAGTATGGTGGTTTAGCCTGAACACCTGTAGGAACAGCACTGAATAAACATACCTCAGCATCCTTCCATGAGCTTCCAATGCCAAAAAATTTGAACTCGCGTGACCCATGCTGTGTCCATGCAAAGGCTTTCAAAAGTAATCCTTTTTCTTCCTGAGTGTCTGCATTAACAACAGGTTGTGAGAGTTTGAATACCTAAAAAAATGGCAAATTAGGTAAAAATACAAACCCTACACTTTTACTTTATCTGGGAATTTCAGATGTTGTGTTTCAAACCTACAGAGACATTCAGTTTCAGAGACAACAGTTAATAAACTCCTTGGACATTAACTTGGCACGTTTCATTAAAGGCTTCTAGCTAAGTAGATCATTTTCATGGTGTAGCTGTATTTCAGTTTCAAACTGAGAATGCATCCAAGATGAAAACATTATTTGTTTCGGAGAAATCACAAAGCTTCATTTTGCTCATTTCTAAGCCTCAATGACTTTTGCTTTGCTGTTATACACAGTGTTTTAGAACACCACAACAGACAGTGTTGCAACAGAATATCAAAAGAATGCTAAAAAAGGGTTTGGGCCTCTTAGTTCCAGCATGACTGAGCCCCAGTGCACAAACCAGCTCCATAAAGACATGGAGTGACCGTTTTGGTGTGGAAGAACTCCAGTGGCCTGCACAGAGCCCTGACCTCAACCCCACTGAACACCTTTTGGATTTCTATTCCCAACCAAGTCTTAACATCTAACATCAGTGCCTGATGGCGTCTTGGCCGATTGGGCAAAAATGCCCACAGACAATCTCCAAAATCTTGTAGAAGCTTCCCAGAAGAGTGGAAGCTGTTAGAGCTGCAAAGGGGGACAAACTCCATATTAATGCCTATGGATTTAGAATGGGATTGATACAAGCTCCTGTAGGTGTGATGTGTAGGTGTCCCAGTACCATATAGTGTACCTCTTGTGATGTGACTAGTCTAATCTAAATAAGAATTTGTAGAACATTTACTCAACTTAAATTGTTTCTTTGGAATAAACTTGTATGAAATGCGCTGAACATTAAATATTACTGAAGTCTTTACTTGAGTACTTTCGTAAAAACTTTACTATGCAAACTCTGTTTACTAAAGGTCTGGATCAATATATGCAAATAAAAGAAAACAAACAATGGCTGTTTGAAAAAGTACAGTCAGGTAAACTGTTATGAAAAAAACAAAATCGGTAACATCTGTCTGTGACCTGCTATAAAATGCAGAAATAAAGAAAACACACCTTTCCTGATTCATCTGGTACAGACCAGACGGCCAACATCCAGGACTGAGCCAATCAGAATCGTCTGAAACTCTGTTATGTTTTCCTTAAACTTTTAATCACTACTTAGCAACCGTTGCTAGCTGCTTTTCAGGTTTTTTCAGGTCAGGTCATTGGCAACATGTCACGCCTGCTGAGCTTTAAAGTTACTATGACAGGGTGCTGTTTTCTACTCAGTAGCAAAGAAGGGCAAAAATAAACTTCAATATCAGCTTTGGATCGGTCTGTGTGGTAAACCTGTTTTCTGCCTATCATTTTATTTTCATTACAGTCGTAGTTGGTAGTTTTAGATGATGCTGAGCAGATTGTGTGGTTGATGCAAACTTTGGCAAATTACTATTTTAACCCCACAGTAAGTTAATTTAATTAAATAGATGAAGTGAGCAAACCCACCACAAGACCAGAGCAAACAGCAGCAGGACAAAATATTCATTTTCATTTCTGTTATGTATACATAAAAAAGAAACTATTGCCATTAAACTGTTTGGAGTAAATCACGTGGTTACGTCCTCCTGAAATGACCGTGTTGCATTATTGGATGCAGTATATAAACAAAGAACAAACCAGGTACTGGAATGTTTTTCCAGAGCAGCACGTCATCCAGGTCTCTTTGGAGTACTGAGGAAATTCATGAGGGTCTCGTACTGCATACTACTTACTAATTTGGGCTCAACCAGTACATGAGCAGTATGTCTCAACTTTTTCCAACAAAAGCCAAAGAGTTCATTTGTAGGTAACTTTTTTAAATTTGTAAGAGACTTATTTTAGCCACGCCCCTGCATTTTAGAGCAGGAAGTGAGGCTGCATCCCTGTCCCTCATGGCCACATGGTAAACAGTTAAATCCCATTGTTTTGATGTAAATGTGTCTCAAAGTCTAAAAATCAATGGGAAACATTAAGAATCATCCCAAATTTTCTGCAATTAAGTAAATGTTTTGTGTTTTAAAGAATAATATGATGTTTTTATGTGTGTACAGCTGTTTAGAGCTGTGTTTATGCTAGTCATGTTCTGGCTGCATTTTTGAGTTCAAAATGATCTAAAATTGTCACTGAAATATTCACTACTTGTAAGGGCCCAGCCTGCGCCGCAATCCGCCAGCAGAGGGTGACAACGGCGAGGTGCCATAATTTCAGGGAACTCCAATTCCCTGAAGCCCTTGGGCTAATTAGGCCCAACCTGACACACTTGTGTTTCCCTCGACTTAAGGCTGTGGCAAACAGCAGCCCTTTGTCACACCTTTGTAGAGGGGTGACCGGTACAGTATGCAGCCCAGGTGGGTATTTAAACAAAAAGAAAAGAAAAACAAAATGGAAAGAAAAGAAAAGAGGGCTGGAAAACACAAAAAAGTGTAATTGCCCCAAAACTACTTAAAAACCACAAGAAGGCTTGAGCTACAAATGGCTCCAAGCTATACGAAAGGTGTTTGCTCCACTCAGAGCAAACAAGTGAAACAAAGTCTGTCTTCCTCTCATAATTACAGAGGAAGTAACTTTTGTTTTCTCATTATCTTTTATTTCACGTTTCTAGTTCAGCCTTTGTTTGAGCTGCTTTCAGCATCCCCTTTGTTTGCCTTTTTATTTCCTGTTCCTTGAGGTGTTTTTCCCATTGTCACCTGTGCTTCCTGATGGTGCAGAGGTAACTCCACAGACTGCCAATCAGTACATCAGTGGTTCCAGCTTGGCTCTGGGTCACCTCAACTCCAGTGTGCCAAATTCACATCCCATTACCTCAATCGGTTTTGTTACACCCTTTCTCACAGGGTTTCCTCTCTGCACTTGGAGAACAATACTGAAACATTTGGTAGAGTTATGATTGTTTTTGTAGTGACAAAATGGAACGTTCAATCATTTGTTTTACTAAAATACACATAATAAAGTTAGAGTGTCAGAGCAAAAGTCCAATATCAGTTAAAAGTCCTAAATGTGTTTAATTCTGACTTTGAACCAGTTGAGCAGAATCACCCACTGATGCTCGGCTTAAAAAAGGGGGAAAATATACAAAACACACAACATTATTCCAGCATTATTTTACTGATAGAAAAAGCTGACTTTGTCCAGTTTAGCCTTGTAGTGATTGTTTGATTTAAAATATAATTTTGATCAAGAACTAAAATATCTATTTCACACCAGTGTATCAATACATACATGTCAGTGTAGATTAATCTCCTAATCTGAGTGCTGGAGTTGTTCCTGCTTTCTCTCCTTCATATGAACTTTCAGAATCACACACTATTTTATACACTGTCCTTAATCCGTAATGATGTGACTGCATATCAGTGAAATGGATGTGTTTTCTCACCAGCTAGCTGGACACTGAGGAGACACATGATCCCAAGAAGAAAGGAGGAGCACCGGATCGCCATGACGACAAAGACTGCAGAGAAATTTCAGTCAGACACAGTAGATCAGTGATAGAGTTTTAATGTATCAGAGATTCTACGTTCACAGTGTACACAAACACAGACAGCGAGTTTAACTCATTAAGTCTTTGATACATTGACACTTTACCTGCTTAAATGTTGCTCTTAGATATTGGGTTTCATTTCAAATAATATTAAAATATTACAAATATACAGTAGAAACTGGTCAGTGAGGGAAGGTTTGCAATACTTTTCTTTTAAATCTCCAGCTAATCTCCTGTGAAATTTTGACCAGTCTTAAAAATTTAAAGCTCCTCAGTGAAGAAATGAATGAAAATTGTGGAGGTACTTTTACAGGTTGTCCAAGGTGTAGCCTGACTAATAGTGACAAAGTTTTCTAGGGAAATTTATCAAGATGTTTTCTAGAGAGTACGGGAGATGATGATCCTGTATATCATTGTGTAACAGTATGTGTCGACTTGCACTTTTCAACATTATAGAAATAAAGGAACCGTAATGAACAGATGTGGGCAGTAAACAGTCTGATACACTGTTCACTGTTGCACAGAAACTCAAAATGAAACTAAAATACAGATGTACGTTTTTTATGCTTTGATAAATTAAAAATGCATCCGTCATCCTCACAAACTAGAATATTTGCTTAGGAAGTAACCTATGAGCCCTGTATGATGTCAGTTTTGCCTTTTTGCTTGAACCATTGAAATATTACCCATTATCCTCATGTATATACACGGTCAGAGAGTCATCATAATGAACATAATTACCAATGAACAAGCTGTTGTTCTTCTTGTCCTCTGGTGGATGATCTTGTGGATGGGTTCTTCTGCTGAGGTGGTGGAGAACTCTGTGGAGATCTTCCCAAGCAGACAGTGATGCTGGACTGCTGGATCACCTCTTTATATTCAGGAGGAGATGAAGTGGAGAGATCGTATGAGAGACTCTGGTCCAATCAGCAGAGCTGTAAGAAGGAGTGAACTGAGGTGTGTGTTTCAGACACTGTCCTCCAGCGGTCTGCCCACAGCGCCCACTAGTGGACTCATTAGTGTACTAGTCAACTGTGCATCCCCTGGTATGTGTTCAGTCAGGAATTTAGATGTTTCACCAGATTAATGTAAATTCTGTCATCATAATCCAGATTTTCTCATTATTAAAGCAGCTGATCTGACTGATCTGACTCTTTACTGTCATAACTTAATATAGAGATCAGACACAGCATATTTACACTTAATCAAATGTAACTTCTGCATCCAGATATTGATCAGATCTGGAAGAAAGTGAGGAGCAGAACAGAAAAGAGGCATTAATAACGACACACTGTTTGTTTATGAAGTAATAAAATTAATACTGAACATGTGCTGAAATATTCCTATTTATATTCTCACATATTTAAACTAGAAAAGCATAGACTTAATAAATGTTGTGTATTTTTACATATGTATATGTGATGTAATCATGTTATTCAGTGCTGAAGTGCCAAGAGTGTTTATGTCTCCATCAAGACAACAACAAAAATCTAAAATATGACTAGTATGTTTAGATTAGTTTACCACTTTTTTACTCAGTGCACTGCAAAAGATCAGTGTCAACAACTTGAGCAGAAAAATAAGTAAAATTATCAGACAATTTAATGAGAAAATATTACTTAATAAGAATGTTTCATTGATTTTAGGCATTATAACTAGATTTACGTAATGCTACTTTGATCCGGTTTTCATATAAAATAAGGAAAAACTGGCATATGAATCTTTTATTAAGCATTTTCTTAATGTCTTCTAGTTAGAAAAGCAGTTTATTGTACATTTCATGCCTTATTTTGAGAAGTATTTTCACGAATGGATCTGTTTTAAGTGCTACAGTGTTGATTTCAGACTTTCTTAAACAACACTATTGTTTATTTGAAAGCAACTAATCTTTAGTGTTGAGCTTGAAACAATTCACACATTCTCAGTTTAATACATTTTGTACCAAATGAGGTCTTTAAAAAAGGGCAGAAACTAATCAGTGAACCACTAGGTCCACTATGGAAGAGGAACTTGAAACTCTATTTCACTTGTCTTAAGAGTACAGTCTTTTGGATATTTTTTCAAAGATAAAGCTGAAGATCTGTCCAAATAAACAACATTTCAGGAACAGATTTATTCTGGATCTGTGGCGCCTCCCTGCAGAGGTTATCTTTAAAATGTAGACCATGACACCAGAAAGGAACATACATTTGGCATATTAAGGTATTTGTTTATAAATATCCCATGTTGAATAATCACTCACTTGCGTTTGTGTTAAGATAACCGTTAATATACTGTTACTATGTTATGTCACTTCGTACAGAAGTTTAGCTTTATCTTAAAAAAAATCCAAAATGACTGTACGCTTAAAGAAAGTGAAGTAGTGCTGAAACTTCCTCTTTCATAAAGGAGCTTCAGAACAGTTCAGTTCTCTAAAAGAGTTCCCTTATTTCAGTTTAAAGAGTCTGAATAAAGAGCTCATTTCTCTAAATAAGATAATTGTAGAGAAAGTTTCTAAAAGCTGATTAACCTCACACATATAAATCTAGTCTAGTCTGTTAATGCTTAAATAAAAAGAAAGATCTGTTGTTTATTTTAAGATCTTCTGGCTTGTTAAGATTGAATTTTTACAGTGTGTAAATTCCATGTGTTACACACAGTTTTAATGTCCACTAATTGACGTCTGTCTTTGATAAAATGTCCTGTTGTTTTTATCGTGAGGTCACTAGACTAGACACTAGACAATAGGCAAAAAGAGGGAAAAGCACACAATGGGTTTCAGCTACAAAAAGCACAGAAAATCCCAGAATCCCTCATTATCACAAGATACAAACAAAGCTAAACTGGACCAGATTTGTTTGTGCAGTGACCACAAAAACTGGGGATGGATATGGGGCTAAAACACAGCCAGAGCTGGAGAAATATTGCACTATAAATTGGCTGCTGAATTATTATTTACTGTGAACTCAAGAAGCAGCTCCTCTCAGTGGTCCAGTCCTTATTTCTCATCTCTCCTGTGTCCTGTATCACTTGCCCAGGTACATTGTTGACCATTTCACACTACAGGACTTGTAAATGTTCAAATAATAAAATTCACTACGGTACTTCCATCTCACTATAATGCTGTGAAGTGTCCAGACCTTTGTTATCAGTCTAAAGTTTGGACCCACCTGCCTGAAAGTCTGCTCTTCATGATCTGAAAGACATTGTGATCTAAAGGTTTATGATTAAATGTTTGAAATCTGTTTCCAATAAAAATACATGTACTGAAGTTGATGTTTGTCTGGCGTATGTTGCTCAGTCTGGTTGGGGGCTCCTCAGTGGGGGCTGAGCTACCGAAGAATGTAAAACTGAAGATGTTTGGATGTGTTTAAAACTCTTTTCATTCACTGCATAACTCCATGTGTGTTTTTCATAGTTTTGATGTCCAGTCCGGTCCACTGTAAATACCCATAGGTGTCATATTCAGTTATTTCACAAATAGATCCAAAACTGGGTTTTGCAGCTCGTATTCTCAGCAGCCGCCACATCAAAAAGCAGAAGCTAAAATTTCATGATCGTATCGTATCTAACTGCCACTTGCAAAACTTTCGGGAGATGAGATGAAATGTCATGCTGAGTGTGGTGTTTGAAAACGGTCTTTGGAACTGACCACAGTCCATGTCCAGTGATAAAGAATTGCTTTCTCATCCACATTCATATGAGTATGATCAAATAACCCAGTTATCAGGACCATGAATATGTAACACTACAGTTTTCAAAACTTTTCTCTGAGATGGGAAGTTGCTTTAGTTTATTCCGTCTTGCACAACAGTGTGGATTGATTAACAGTAAATGCATGTAAAATTACACCTATGAGCCATTATTTATGTCTAATATTTGTGTCAGTTAATTCCATTTTGTTTAACTGGACAAAATGACGTTTTGTCTGCTTTTTAAATGTTGTTAATGTTTTAAAAGATTCTTGGTAAACTATAAAAATTAGGCAATAAAATTCCAGCAGGCTGAGTTTCTAGTGGGATGTACTGTATAAAACCTAGATTTTTGCATCACATGCAGTCATGTGATCATGTGTGATTCGATATGTATTGATGATATTGTGTGTCTGTGAATGTAAAGCATCATTCTATAACTGACCCTCAGTAACAGCCTGTGAACAAATCACCTGAGAGCCCTGCCCAATTTACACCACCCTGTTGTGTAAGGAGGAGTAAAATAAGGCAGCTTCCTAACTAAAGAGAAAGTTGTTAAAATTACAGATAATGTTATAAATGAAATATGAGATCAGTTCCAGAGAAACTTTTAAAACACCACATTCAGCACAACTCTAATTTAATCAAATATTAACCTTAACCTTAACCTTAACAATCCAAAACTTAGACCTAACCCTAAACCATTCACTTTAACCTTAACCTCAACCCTAAACTAAACCTAACCCTAAACCAACCACTCACTTTAACCTTAACCTTAACCCTAATCCTAAACTTAACCCTCTAATAATAATAATAATAATAAAAATAGCTCTATGTTTACAGGGACAAGTTGGTATTAGTTGTTTATTATAAATGGAACAGTTTTGTAATGTAGAGCTCTAACTGTAAAAAAAATAGGCCAAATCCAAGTTGGCCACCTGGACATGGTCAGTGTCGACTGGGCAGTAATTCTATAAGGGTGGTCTGCTTTGGTAATATAGAATGTTTTGATGATATTGGGCCCTAAACATGTAAAAAAAACAAGGGTCAAGTGTGATGTTGACCACTCAGACTTGTGCATCATCCTCTCAGGATCCACACTGTACATTTTGGTGGACATACTAAGCAGTCTGGTCACTTTATTATAAAAGATTCTTTCATAATATAATGTGACACTTTGTCAGTATAATGGAACTAAAAAAACAGATATCTCTAGGGTTAAAAACAGGCTAGAATTATTTGTCAGTCATTGATTAAAAAGCTGTTGCTCAAAAAAAGCTGAAAAATGTGGTTTTTACTTTGGAACACAATTTAAAATATATACACTATAATAATCACTCAATGCATGCATGCACCATTAAAGTCATGCAGTGGTGGTCATCATCTGATTTGTGAAAACTTTCACAAACGTGGTTTTGTATATTTGAGTGATTTATGCAGTTCTACTCCCATTTTCATGTGTAATAACACAGTAGTTCAGCTTTTGGCAGCAAATATAGATCATTAGTGCATATAGCTTTAATAACTGATTATGTATAAAGATAACAGCACACTAATATTAACTTTCCTGATTTGTGAAAACTTTTACAAATACATTTATATCTATCATTCCGTTGTTGATCAGTTTTGGCAATAAAAGCTGAATATTTGGAGGGCTTGGCTCTATAACGCCATGTATACTTACAGTAGCAATGACATTTCACTTGTTTTAGTCGTTACCTGATTTGTGAAAACTTTCACAAACATGGTTTCGTATATTTTATTGATATATGCAGTTCTACACCCATTTACATGTGTAACAGTAGTAGTACACAAATACACCAGTGTCACTGCAGTGCTGAGAATGATCCACCACCCAAATAATATCTGCTCTCTGGTGGTCCTGTGGGGGACCTGACTATTGAAGAACAGAGTGAAAAGGGATAAAATAGTATGCAGAGAAACAGATGGACTACAGTCTGAAACCGTAGAACTACGACATTCTCCAATAAGGTAAGTGGGGCTGTTAAAATGGACAATGACTGTAGATGCAAATTAATTGTGTATTTAACTGAGTGGCCGGTCATTGTGTGTGTTTTTCTTTGATGTTACTGTAAATGCTTTGTACATTTTGTACAATTAAATGTTTTTACATCTTAAGACTTTTGGTTTTGCTAAATAAAAACTTAGTCATTGAAGTAAATCAAACTGTTAAATGAAAAATAATGAATAAAATAAAAACAGAGTTT